CTGAAGGATTCCTTATTTCTTGCAAAATTTCTGTTACTACTAATAATGTAGTGTTATTTATTTATTGATCTGTAACATTTGTTCTTTGTGGCAGTCGTGACTTAGGAAGTTCAGGGTTGATTGGGTATAAACCCGATTTACTAAAACCTGCTTCGAGATTACGAGATACAGCACCTCTTTCAACCAATTTGTTTTTTAGTTGACCCAATAATTTGGGAAATGAACTTTTAACCAAAGTTTTATGTTTCCGCCCTTCCATTAACTTGCAATGAGTTAATACATCTCGCCAGTCGGTCTTTAGCGGAGCGAAAAAAGCGACATCTAATGGTTGAAGCAGATGTGTGGTTTTCGGTGGTAAGCACACAAATGCAATATTCATTTCTTTACAAGTCTTTAGTACGTTTTCCGAAAAATGAGACGACAGATTATCTCCGATTAGAAGTTGTCGGCCCGCTTTCTTACGTGCGTAAGGTACTATAATGGTATTAAACCAGTCTTCAAAACAGACTGCATCGAATCACCCACTTTTTGATCGATTGTACCTCGTCCCTTCACCTTCCAGCCACGTATCCCATAGATGATCTGATTTATATAACACATATATTGGTAACAACTCACCATGTGCGGTACCCGTAAACAAGAGCGAAATTGCTGTTTTCGAATTATTTAAAATTCTTTCTGGGTACTTTGTGCCTCTTTTATAAATATAGTTTTTACAACCTGGATCATCTGTGAGGTTGGTCTCATCATAGTTGATAATGCAGTCTGGAGTAGCACCTTCAATAGACTTCACATAATTTTCGAAAAAGCTGTCAATTACGTAATTTGTAATTTTAGCTCGATCAGTAGAAATATTAGACGCTTTGTGATTTGAAATTACTGATTTATGTCTTAAAAGAAAATTACGTTCCCATCCCTGGTAAGTTATTTTTAAGCCCATATATATTTTTGCCTATTTTTTTCAAATATTTTTGAGCTAGTACTCGAAGATCCATAGTCGAAGAGAAATCCCCATTCACTTAAAATTAATATGTTTCGTATAAATGAATTTTCCTCTTCGGGAGTAAACAATGTTGGATGTCCAGCTTTATCTTGCGTGCAATTTATGTTTCTATATTTTCTACATAGTGTGCTCTTTGGTATATCATAAATATCGGCAGCTACGGTTAACTTAAGTTTTCCAGACTGTACAGCCTCTATCGCTTTTTCCAAATTTTCTTTCGAATAACTATGATACGGTGCCAAAGATTTACCTTTTCTGAAATTAGTGTACTTTCTTTGGTAAGTAGGTACGCACCATATTTCTGGAACTGTAATATAAAATAAAAAAAGAAACTATAAGCTTCCTTTTAAATTTATACATGATATATATTTGGGGCTATTTGAGATCTTAAGCTTATTAAAACTAAAACACACAAAAAAGGGTTTATTTGGTACAGAATTCCAAATAGCCTCAAACTTGTGCCAAAAAGCGCCATTCTACAAAACATAAAAATATGACGTCTAAAACAGGTTACAATACAATGGAAAACACCAATAAAATCCCAAGAAAATATATGTCTACATCAGCGTACTCATTTTTTACTTACCTTTAAAATGTAGGTATATTAACTGGAAGTAAAGTACATACAAATTAACTCGACTTAACAAGCTTTTTTCAAAAATTTATCTAACGATTTGCTGACGCTTTGATAACCTCTAAATTAGACCGGTGGCACTGACATTAGTTGTAGTATTGCCATATTGTAAAAAATATATTCTACTGTTACTAGAAGAAAAAATATATTCGATCAAATCTTTTATTACAAATGTTGTGAATAGCCCCTGGAGTCTCAAAAAGCCCCACTTTACGGTATGTTTTACCTGGGACAAATAGTCCGACTAGGTAAGTACGTCTTCAACCAAGAGGTCATACGACGGATTCAACTCGGCTGGGCAGCGTTCGAGAAATTACGACACTCTTCTCGTCAGGTATACCTCAAAACTTGAAAACGAGTCTGTACAACCAGTGCGTGTTGCCAGTGATGACTTATGGAACTGAGACGTGGTCTTTAACTACTGGGCGTATAAGGACGCTCAAGGTCGCTCAGCGAGCTATGGAGGGGGCTATGCTCGGAATTTCTCTTGAATGTATGAACTGTAAATAAGCATTTTTCAGGCCAAGACGAAGAATATTTTTTCAAGGGAATAGAAAAGCTTTTTCTACGAACAAGTAACTGTATTAAAAAATTCATAAATTTATCTTTTTTCTAACATACCTGTTACGGCCTACAGCTGCTCCAGCAAGGGTCGAATCTTCCGGGGCCCATGAGCAGAAGATTCAACGAACAGCCGCAGGTCGGGCCCAAAATGGCCCCATGGAAGAATTTCCTTTAACACTAAGCTATATGGGAGAATGCTAGAAACAGATATTACGTACCAGTATCAGAAGCTAACTTCGCACCAAGGCTCGGTCAGGCCGTGAGGGGGTGTAAGGCGAATGGCAAGTAGTGTTCAGTGATGTGTAAATGTGTGAGGCCTTGACCTCCTTAGGCGAACAGCAGCGGCCGAGTTCCAGGTTGCCCCAAAACGCTGCATCGCTCCAGCAGGCTCCACCGCTTGACCATTTCTTTCTTCCTTGTCACTATTTCAGTCTATTAGCTTCATTGTACATTTAACTAACTTAAACTCGCCTAATTCCACATTCATCGTAGAATCGAACACGTGATACCCGACACAGAAACGGACAGTAGTTCAAAGTTCAACATTCAATGTCCCGGATTCACTTATCACAAAATTATAAAGAGGGAATTAAAGCGATCTCTTAATGAGACATACTATTCAGCGTTAAACACAACTAAGTTCCTTTATTCGACACCAAAACACCACGTCGCGAAAAGATTCAAAATACGCCTCGTTGACACGTAAACTAACAAGCCAACACACACAAAAAAGGGCAATTAACGCGACGGCCCAATTATAATGATTTCCTGACGAGCAACCGGGAGAAGCTCTCTAACAAGGAATGCGCGGTTCGAATCCTAGACCGTATATCTACTCGACGCGCGCGTGCACAATTCCGTATCCCCGAACAAGTTAAATATTGCAAAATTCACATATACGTAAGGAAGTAACACGCACTCAATCTAACTATCTGAACCCGACAACGGTAGCGTGAACCTCGGCCGCGCTAAACCAGCTACGCGGGTTCCCCGCTTCGCGGCCAGTGGGCAACTCCTTCGCCCACGCGTCGAGCCACACAAGCCGCACACCGCCGCCCCACCTGGCGGCGTTTTTTCACCTACATACTATCGGGTGACGCGACAGCTCGAACGCAATTAGACGGCGTTCAACATGACCAAATTTAGGCATAAACAATACCCATTCCAAGAATACATTGAACGCCCCTCGTATTACTTTAGCCAGATTTTTATAGACAGTGCCTTAATTTCCTTTAAAATCTTCCGGGAATAAAGCGAATGTTAGCACCGAAGCTTAGCTTGGCATTCTTACTTTATATGCGTTATTTCTACAGTAAGATTAGCTCCTGTATCAGGCGTTTTACATACAGTAAAATGCATAACACTACATCTAGACTTGAAATAATTATAAGTAAGCCATACAAATACTTGGTGCCTATAGGCGTCGAGCCCGCATCTCTTATTACCGCGACCAAATGTTTTTTTCGTTTTCATAATTCTTGTTTGAACTGTCTTACTTTCTCTAAATTCTTACTCGTTCTCGTTTAGTCTTGATAGTTACAAAGTTATCTTTCAAATTGGCGTCTATTTTGGCGCGAAACTACTAGGAAACCCAACCCCTTCGCATAACTGAAAATTGCTTATTGAAAGCTGTGGCGCATGATTTTGCAGACACTAGTTACGCAGGCGCATTTCGCAGATCATCCGCGTCGCTCTAAAATCGACCATAGATTGGAATAATACTGCCGATGGTGTAGCCTAACAGAAATCTTAACTGTATTGTCGGGCTGCATTGAAGAGGTGTCCTCTCCCCCTACAGCCGCAGCCATGGTGGATTTTTATAGCGATGCGCCACTCGACCTATCCTCCGCGACTCTGGCGGGGCCGCGCCAATGATGCAGTGTTAATGGGGCTACGACAGTTGGTATTACGATGCGCCGCTCTCACTACCCCCCACGGTGCAGATTCTCGGTTCGAATCCAAGGTGACATAGGGCATGGATAAGGTATCGATTATTCGAATTCGTCATTGTAGTTGAAAGTTAGACTCAAATAGTTAATTAGTCAACATGATTCTACGTCGGATATATTACATCACAAATAAATCCAGAGCATGGTCCTTCACAGTACAAAGTGACTTAAAGTAACAAGCGGTAAAATTAAACATTTTGAACAACTGACTTCAATATAAATATAACTTATTGTTGATTTGTTAAAAACCGCTCGACCGATTTCGATAAAATTTAAATGGGATAAAATTTTATACGTGGTAGAGCCATGCTGCAGCTATATTATGGTTGTAGCACGATTGGGTCGGCTCGACCGGGGAAGGACGACGCTCTCACAGAATACCAGCGTCAAATAGCAGCTTAACGCTGCTGTGTTTCGTATGGTGAGCGTAGAGAACCGGAGACCCTTTTTACTAGAAACGAGGCATTCCAACTTAGTCCTCACAGGTGACAACGCATCTGCATTTTCATTCGTAATCAAAGATAGATGTACCATCAGGTGGACTGTGCTCGTTTGTCACCCTTCTCTTATAAAAAAAAATGGGAGCACCTGGCAAGTATACCTTTTGGAACAAAAAAAAAATTTCCAAATCAGTTCAGGCGTCTTCGAGTAATCGATGTACATACATAAAAAAAAAGATTCCGACGAATTATAAACCTCCTCCTTTTTTAAGGTCGGTTGAAAAGGGTATTTTTGGTAATTAAAATACAGATATCAGTTTTTTAATTTTATTACTTACAATAAACAATTTTGTAAACTATATGCAAAGCAGAATGATTTTTCTAATAATAAATCCTGGAAACACAAATATTCAATGATCATCTTCATAGCCAGTTGGGAGTGCATTGACATGGGGGTTGTGGAACAAGCTCTTCTGTCCATCGCCCCATGGGAATCGCTGAAAATTAAAATAATATAGTTTAGAATGTGTCGTGTGATGGCGGTGTAGGAGAAACCATTATGAAAGACATATATTATGGTGTCTTGTGTTTTAGAATGCTAGGTCCATAGCTTATAATTAATGGAAGTATAATCGCGTCCCACGGGTGGACATACGCCTCCTACAATTACTAAAAGGATTATGAAGCGATTACTCTATAGCACTGCTCCAGTGCGTTGGTGGTCTTCACATACTATTGAAATATTTTATTTTTCGGACATACAGGTTTCCTCACTGTGTTTTCTATCACTATTGAGCTGTGGTAAATAAGCACTTAAAATTGCAAACATATTGGTGCCAGTGGGGGATTAAACATGGGCAACTCACATACTTTGAAATTTACGGAAAGCCCTTAGCTCTGTGCTGCCATCGAGAACTATTTTGTAAATACCAGATGTTAAACATTCTGACCAGCAATGAGGGCAGCATCAAAGATGTGAGATTTCAGAATCTATGATTGTCCATCATTTTATTAAGTCTGATGATAACTATACCAAAACTCACCTGTTGTGGGGGGTCCACGTCCATAAGGGTTAAGGACAAATAAAGATTTTTTTTAATTGAAAGTAACTATTAAACTTCACAATACATGTGATATGATAGTTATTAATCAAGGATGTTGCGGATGTTTGCATCCGCAATTGTGGAGCTATCGCATCAGAAATCATATTCTTTTAGATGTTTCGGATGCAGACTTGGGCAAGTTGCGACTAGAATTGGGGAGTGATGCGTGTGGTGCGCGTCTTCTGTTATTTTCGCCACAATGCACCTAATTTTTAAATAGTACAAAAACACCATCTATTATATTTATTTGTGTAATAAAACTAACTATATACATATTATTTAGTAAACGGATGGACAATCATAAATTAGAAGTGATGTAAGAATATCGACTACCCTATATCGTCGGAAAAGGCGACAGATGGATATTGAAACAGGTAATAAAACAAACAACAAAATAATAAAAAACTGCAGTTGACAACTTGCTCACCAGGCGTATGAGGCAATCTATGGAGGAAGCCTATTATATTATATAGTGTACTTTTATAGGCTGTAATAGAAATGGAATTGATATCTTATTTAAACATGAGATTGTGGGCGTCTGCCCCCAAAAAAATTGCATATGCAAATGTAAAAACAATTCTGCATGGGCAAATTCCCCATTATAAATATGATTTATTGTTTGTGATGATCACAGAAGCTACTACTATGTAAATACTATGTTGCAGGTTCTTGCTTAAATCCCGATCTAATAAAAAGTAAAAGGTGTCAGAAAAAAATAAAAATTAGGGAATTGACAGCATATTCTTGAATCAAAGAACTATAGAACTACAATAAATACACCTAAAAATGTGTTAAAATTCAAGTCCATGGGAGAGCCCATGATCAGGTTCACAATATAAGTGATCAGATTAAACATATTGATGATTTTTTTCTTTTAGAGGGACTGTTTTTATATACTGTTAGAAGTTAGCAAGTGTGTGTTTCAAATCAACCATAGTAACATTAATGCAATAATCTGAGGTAGACCTGAAAACAGTGTCATATACCTACATGACAACAATAATGGAATGTCTGGATAAATTTATATCAATTCTGGTTGGGAACCCAAAATCAAACCAGAAACAACCAGTGAGTAACTTAGCAAGTACAACCTTAATCTGCGTAGTTATCTGGCATAATTAGAAAAAATATAAACTCTTTTTAAATGGGTGCAATGGGGATATACCAACTTTAAAAGACAGTCTTATGTGCAGCACCCTGCTCACTAAAATATCGCCAGGGCTGAACACAGGGCTTCCCCTTAGATTGCCTTATATGGAGATATTTGCTATAGTTGCCACACTTGCACATGCTGTTGCTCATCTACCATTTCAGTGGGAGCAATTAATTGTTTTTGCCCGTATTACCAGTATAGTCTTATTCAATTACTGCTTACATTATAAACGAGGTATCTTTAAATGTATATTTTTCATTACTTTTAAACAAATTATTTAATACCAAAGTGTGCGTTAGTTGTGAATGTGAGTACCAATACCAACCATTATTTAATTAATGGTACAAATGAAGTATGAAATATCTATGAACACTTTAGATTAATAAATAAAAAAATTGTTACAGACTGTCAAAGTCCACTGTTAAACATATGCCTTCCCATAGATTGTCTGATACGGTGAATATTTGCCATAATTCCAATGCTTGGGAGGTAGATTGTTTCTGGTTGTTAATAGGTAGACAACACTGTAAATGTCTTGGTTTGCTTCCTTTTGTCACCTCATACAACACCCACGGGATGATAGTGGATATTCTTACACTGCCATTACATGAAAAGTATATAACATATTTTGCCATGAAGACTGGTTTACAACTGTAGGGTAGAAAAGATAGAAATCAGTGAGGTTTAATTTGCTCCCTAAATGGCTTTTAAGCTGCTTATGCTTTCATAGTTAACAGAGTAAATAAATATTATTATGATAGTAAGTTGTACCTATGTTGCATCATGTTTATACAAGAATATTCCCAAAAGAAATTACAATTACATATGAAAAATCCGAAGAGCTGTGGTAGCTCAAGGGCTAAGCGTTGACTGTAAATTTCACAGTATGCAAACAACCCGACTTCGATCCCTACCAGCACCAATGAAATAGTTAATTGCAATTTAAGTGCTGAATTACCACACGCCCGGCGGTGAAGGAAAACAATGTGAAGAAACTGGCATGTCTGAGAAATTAAATTCTTTTTTTTAATATATATCAAGTTCGCCAACATTATTGTATTGGGGTTATTATATTAGTATTGGGGCAACGCAGCAAACTTTTTCTTGCCCTAAAGTACTCTCAGAAATGGGAGAAGGCCCTGTCCCCAGCAGTGGGACGTATATAGGCTGTGACTTTAACTTTTATGGGAAAATCAGTCTGCCTGAACATTAAGGATTAATGACAAGTATAAAGTAAAATGTATTCGTTTAAGAATAATAATAATATCCTCCATGTTAACTGGAATTAACCATCCGCACAGGACTCTAATAGTAAATATTGTCTTTTTTCAATTAAGCTTACCACAAGATATACTATTGACCATCTTTAATATTAATTCTTTAATATTAATTATAATGAGCTGAAAGTAGGGAAATTTGGAATAGGGCAACGGAACCCAAGGGGCCAGCAGCTGGCCGACTTCATGGAGAAAGAGGGACTCTTTATGATGAACTCTTTCTTCCAGAAGCGGCCCCACAGGAAGTGGACCTGGTCGAGCCCCGACGGTTCGACAAAAAATGAGATTGACTTCATTATGACGACCAGACGACAACTGTTCAGTGATGTCTCAGTGATCGCGAGGGTGAAAACCGGCAGCGATCACCGAATGGTTAGAGGCACACTGAACCTAAACGTTAAGTTGGAGAGGTCTCGTCTAATGAAGTCAACGCTCCGTCCCCCTCGTGCTCTAATCCAAAGTCCCGAAACCTTTCAGCTCGAGTTACAAAACCGTTTTCAGTGCCTAGAAGACTGCAATGAAGTGGACGATTTGAATGACAAGCTCGTGGAAACTGTCCAAGCGGTCGGAGCTAAGTTCTGCAAGACCCGCCGCAGAAGAACACAAAAACTCTCCGATCACACTCTTAATCTCATGGCTGTTAGACGGGAGATGAAGCTACATTCTTCAACAGATTTAACAGCATACAGGCAACTGAACAGACAGATCTCCAAATGCATGCGGCGGGACCTACGCAAATTCAATACAGCTCGTATTGAAGAAGCGATCGAGCGGAACCAAGGCTCCAAAGTCTTTGCCAGAGATCTGTCTGCCAGAAAGCGCCAACTGTCAAAGCTGAAGACAGAATGTGGCAGCATCGTTTCCGGGGCACCTGAGATTTTGAGTGAGATTGAGAGGTTCTATGGGCAGCTGTACACGTCATCGTTGGAGCCGCACGCAAGTGTGAGTAACGATCCAAGAGCGAGTCTTATCCGACATTATTCCGATGATATCCCGGACGTCAGTCTGAGCGAGATTAGAATGGCTCTCCAGCACCTTAAAAACGGCAAGGCCCCAGGCGAGGATGGAATTACAGCGGAGCTTCTGAAAGCGGGTGGAAAACCGGTACTTGAAGTCCTTCAGAAGCTCTTCAATTCCGTCCTCCATGATGGCATTACACCGGAGGCGTGGAGCAGAAGTGCGGTGGTCTTGTTCTTCAAGAAAGGCGACAACGCTCTCTTGAAGAACTACAGACCGATTTCCCTTCTGAGCCGCGTCTACGTGCTGTTTTCGAGAGTCATTACGAATCGTCTCGCGCGCAGACTTGACGACTTCCAGCCTCCCGAACAAGCCGGTTTCCGAAAAGGCTTTAGCACCATAGACCACATACATACCCTTCGGCAAATTGTACAGAAGTCCGAGGAGTACAATTTGCCACTATGTCTGGCATATGTGGACTATGAGAAAGCCTTTGATTCCGTCGAAGTTTGGGCGGTGCTGCAGTCCCTTCAGCGATGCCAAGTTGACTGTCGGTATATCGAAGTGTTGAAGTGCTTGTACAGTAGGGCTACGATGGCTATCCGAGTACAGAACCAGAGTACGAAACCTATCCAATTGCAGAGAGGTGTAAGACAGGGTGACGTCATATCCCCGAAACTCTTTACCGCTGCATTGGAAGATGTTTTCAAGCTTCTGGACTGGAAAGGATACGGTATCAACATCAATGGCGAGTACATCACTCACCTTCGATTTGCCAACGATATAGTCCTTATGGCAGAATCGCTGGAGGACCTAAGCACTATGCTCAATGACCTCAATAGTGTTTCCCAACGGATAGGTCTTAAGATGAACATGGACAAAACAAAGATCATGTTTAATGTCCATGTCACACCTATGCCGGTAGTTGTTGGGAACACTAAGCTCGAAGTTGTTGACGAGTATGTTTACCTGGGACAAATAGTCCGACTAGGTAAGTCCAACTTCGACCGAGAGGTCAATCGACGGATTCAACTCGGTTGGGCAGCGTTCGGGAAATTACGGCACATCTTCTCGTCAGGTATACCTCAAAACTTGAAAACGAGACTGTACACCCAGTGCGTGTTGCCAGTGATGACATACGGAACTGAGACGTGGTCCTTCACTGCTGGCCGGATGAGGAAGCTCAAGGTCGCTCAGCGAGCTATGGAGAGGGCTATGCTCGGAGTTTCTCTGCGTGATAAACTCAGAAATGAGGATATCCGCAGTAGAACTAGAGTGACCGACATAGCCCAACGGATTAGTAAGCTGAAGTGGCAATGGGCCGGCCATATAGCTCGAAGAACCGACAACCGATGAGGAAGAAAGGTTCTCGAGTGGCAGCCTCGTACCGGCAGGCGAAGTGTAGGGCGTCCCCCCACTAGATGGAGTGACAACCTGGTAAGATATGCAGGAAGTCGATGGATGCAGGTGGCTCAGGACCGTGCTTTGTGGCATTCTTTGGGGGAGGCCTATGTTCAGCAGTGGACTTGTGAAGGGCTGTAATGATGATGATGATCTTTAATATTTATTGTATACATATTTTTTGCACAGGAAAAGCATACAACAGTGATGTCACCACACAAAAGTCACCAAGGCAATAACCTGTGTGTGCTTACTTGGGGCTTACTCCATGTTAGAAACATATCCGATATATCATATAGGTGTTTTATATACATGAATTACACATAGAAACATCTAATCCTAGCATAAATATTTAAAGTTTATACTAATTCTTCTGCATGTGATTCATAGCTGCTGCCTGCAGCCTAACATTTAGCAATTGTGCCACCAAAAAAATTCTGTAAAATTTATAACTTTAAGCAGACAGACAGCTATTTAATCATCTTGAATTCAATATTGTGATAACCCATCTCCTGTCAAATATGGCAGTTTTAGCTAGTTTTACCAAGGGTGCAGTACACTTTATATGAGTTGATGAGGGAGGAGTATACTTATATCCTTTAATTTTACACTTTTACACATAATGTAAAACTATTAATTTATAAATTAAATACTGATATTTCTTTTAATTCCTAGAAAATAAAAGAAAATACCTTTGTGCGAATACGCAAGTATTCATAAGGAACGAAAGGCGGGCGCTCATGGTGCTCTTCTTGGTGTGCTAAGTAAGCATTCAGCATACCGAGACCAACAGCAGGGAATGCTACGAAGAAGGTCAACTTCTTCCACAGTTTGTAACCACCTGCACAAATGTTTTATTTAAGTAATTAAATTTCATTAAAATAAAATAATATGATAAGCATAGAGAAGGGTTATGTGATTACATAATTTACAAGTTTAAAAAAATGGTATAGCTAACCTCCATGTCCACCAGCAGTAGCGGCATGTGAAGCCCGAACTTGATTTTTAAGATATAATGTAGCCGCCCTATGTAGGATAGAAGCCATTTTTTAATTAGAAAAATTCAACTATTAGACCCGATATACTGAAGTAAATTGTAAATTTACTTGTCAAATTGTCAAATGTCAAAAATATCAAACTGAATGCTGAAATTGTCAGTTTAAAAAAATATTATCGATTTAATGCTACAGATAATATATAAATCCACCACTTGAAACTTGAACGTTTCTGACATTCTAGAGTTTTCTAGCTGCTTATACTACTCCACTTCTATAACTATAGATGTTTGTTCTGTACATATATATTTATCTATGGTTCTGTATTGTGTTATTCATGACCATGACTCATGTATTTAGTTGAGTGTTGTTTTTAGCTACTTTGTTATCTAATAAAGGCTCAAGACAAGATGTGACAGATCAAAGGCAAAATTTAATAAAAAATTACCAGCACATTTAATTAAAAAAAACCTTCGTTTAAAAAGTAGGAAATAGTTCTATAATTCAGTTTAGTTTTGATAAAAAAATTAACTGACTTCAATTTTAAACAATACGGTAAATATTTTTATGCAATAATAAATAATTAAACAATTATTAATTTATAAATAATTAAACATTAGAGTATTTATATAAATGTAAAAGAGGAATACTTCGGTGGTTTGGTCATGTAGAAAGAATCAATGAGGAAGGAGTGACAAAGCAATTATGTTTCAGAGGTGAACGGCAGAGTCGGGAAGGGACGCCCTAGGCGAAAGTTTATTGACATATTGAAAACTAGCTTTAGAAATATCATTAATACTACTTCAATTATAGTTAAATTTCATAAATGCAGACAGAGACTATATTTATGAACGGGAGTAGAAATATAGTGAAGATGGACAGCAGCGTCTTTCTAGTTACAGCTCAAAATAGTAAAAAGATGCAGTTGGCAGCCCGCCTGCCAAGCGTGGCAACAATGACTAGTATCCAACTTATTTCGTAATCTATGGAGAGAATCGAAATGATGAACGGGAGTAGAAATATATTAGCAATGTAAAGGCGGCGAAATAGAAGGGAAAGTGAAACAGGACATGGGTTGGCAGCATCATTCTGATAACATTGCACAGTAGATAATAAAAGCTGCGGTTGCCAACCCACTCACCAAGCGTGGCTGCTACTGCAAATATCCGGCCTATTTGACAAACAATGGGAGAAGCCTATAATCAACAGTGGATAGGCCTATTAAAAGTAAAAAAGTAGCAGCCTACATACATCCCACTACCGGGGACAGGCCGCAGCGTGTTTTAAGACAAAAAAGAATTGATTGAGTTGACTTCAAAGCGGGTTGACCGACTTCACATAAGTATATACAAAAATGATTTCCGAAATAATTTTTAACTTCTCAAATATGTAGGTTTTCTCGCGATAGTCCCTCCCTCCTTTTTTGAAGTTCCGTAATCGGATAAAAAGTAGTTCATAAGTTGCCCTGGGTCCCTAACTACATACACACAAAATTTTATGGAAATATGTTCAGTAGTTTTTGTGTGAATCGGGAATACACAGACAGACAGACAGATAAAAATTCTAAAATTTACTAATTTATCCTCAGTGTCCTTTATTTAGTCCCCTGGAATTGTTTTTTCCAGAAAATATTAGAATTACAGACAGGACTTTTTTACAGGTTTATTATATGTATAGATGAGCCGAATTAAGAGTACCTTTTTACCGACGAGCGTGTATGCGTAGGTATGTTGGATGTGGAGGAAGCGAAAGAGGTGTGTCAGGATTGTGCCAAATGGAAATCCATAGTCTCTGCCTACCCCTCTGGGTGACAGGCATGAGTGTTTATGTTTATGTATTGAAGAGAAGAGAAGACGTAGTAGTAGTAGAAATAGTATAAAGTAGAATGTATTATAAAAGTAGTTTCGCTCTTGTGAAATTCTTAATTTCAGCTGAACTGAGTACATTGTAATAGTGGTGTATGGGGTCCACTATTAACAGACTTCGAGTGGTCTAGTGGCGGAAAAATGAAACTATTTTCTGATATGCCTTACTATGTGCAGGCGAATGGTGTGTTTTACTCAGTGAATACTGCTTATATTTATATGCCCGGCTACATCCTTAGTTTACCAATAGTAATAATTTTTATTTACTTAGCCAATTACAATACATACATGTTGACCAATAACGATTAACCAATACAATATTATATACCACTATTATATGTAGCGCTCCATTTGCCGGCGTTATCTGCTCAGACTCGTGGATAGCTTCTCGTAGCTTCTCGCGCACGCGCAATCTGTGAGCGGCGGCGGCGTGGGACACATCTCCGGAACAGCAAGAAGCAGCGAAGCTGCGGCGTTGAAGAAACGGCTCGAAAATGGTCGACGGAAGCATGAAGATAGCCGGTGTGTGAAAACGATGCGGCGCTGATGATATTTGCGGCTGCAATTATCTATATTAGAACGTTAAATATATACGTCAAATTATCTCGCATCGATATGCAGCCCGCAGTATCTCAGTAGCCGGGGGTAGTTAGGAAATAAATGTTTTCTTCAGACCTTCGCCTTCTGCGTTATGGTAGTTACAGGGTATACATTATTTACTTCCGTTTAGGGTTGATTAGCCTGGCTGCTAAATCACTCTCCCCCTAGCGAAAGCATGCGGGAGGCTTGACGACTCGCCCATGTCTCGTAATTTTAAAAATAGTTTTCAACTGGGTTGATGTAGATGATGGGTTTTCAAGCTTCCTCGCTGGTGGTTGAGATGATGATGATGATGATGAAGAATCCTCTGAAGTATCCTGGTTAATAATATAGGCAGGCTTTAGTCGGTCGATCAATATAATTGTAGATTTCCTTCCGGGTATTTGTAATTTAAAAGTCTTGCTATTTCACTCTAATACTTTATACGGTCCATCGTAAGTAGGTTGAAATTGTTTCTTTACTTACAAAAACTTGCTTGCATGTTTTCAAATCTTGATAATTAATACTGATTTATTATTACCGTGTGATAATGTGCGTTTCAACGATAAGACTTTGTTGATTGATTCTCGAAGTTGAGTTACAAAATCGTAATTCATTTCTTGATTATTTGACGATGTTGAGGTGAAGAAGTCACACGGTAGTCTTATGCTGCAGCCGTAGGTTAGCTGAGCGGCGCTAAGACTAGTGTCTCCACGCGGTGTTGCTCGTAGTCCAAGTAGCACTGTAGGTAGCTCATCAATTTGTATGTTGAGATAAACGAGTTTTGAGTGCGGTCTTTAGTGTATGATGCCATCGTTCGACTATTTCGTTTCATTGAGGGTGGTATGCCGTTGTACGTGTTTTCTGTATTCCCATAGTTTGAAGAAGTTTGAGAAATAGGTTGCTTTCGAAGTTTCTTCCTTGATCCGTTGTGATGGTTTTAGGTGATCCGAAACGAGTAATCCAATTTTCATAAATTATCTTCGCGACGGATTCAGCTGAAGTATCATCGGTAGGTATTGCTTCTGGCCATTTTGTTGTTCTGTCGATCATTGTTACAAGGTAATGATGGCAACGTGCAGGTGTTCGAATCTGTCCGTAGGTGGAAATGAATCTAGGCTGCTTGATGTATGCCTTTGTACTTTGCATTTTTGACATTGAATGCATTGGTTCGCCCAGTTGCCAACATCCACTTGATTCAAAGCCAAAAGAATTATCCAGTGATTAGTTTTTTTGTTGTTCTAACACCTGGATGACTGATGTTGTGCAGTGTATTGAAGACTTCGCGATGACATCCTTCTGATAGGTCTGGTTGCATGGTTGACGTTGAGGCTTCTCAGTAGATAGGTCGATGCATCATTGGCATTGTAACTTGCTTGATGGACAAATTATTTTGCTTCGATAGATGTTTGATGTTGTCGCTATCTCTGTCTTGTGCTTCGGCTATTTTGTGATAGTCGATTGATGTAGGGCACGTTACACTGTCGATTGGTATGCGACTGAGTGCGTCGGCGACTATGTTGTCCTTCCCACTGATGTAACGTATGTTGGTCGTGAATTCACTTATGAAAATGAGTTGTCTTGCTCGTCGTGGTGTTTCCGATGGTGATGGTTTCTTCTGAAGTACATATTTTAATGGCTTGTGGTCGGTAAAAACGATCAGGTTTCGACCCCCGAACGTTTTTTGAAGTGCTGGATAGCCGTGTAGATAGCAAGTACTCTCGGTCGAATGTACTGTGGTTACGATGGGTGAGCGAGCAAAGCTGCATTTTGGATCGCAACTTTACAAGCTTCAAATGCCTTCGTGGCTTCATCGTTCCATCCGATTGACGTTTTACCTTTCTTCTTCGTGTTGTGAAGGTAGGCGTGAAGTGGTGCTTGGATTTCAGCGGCTTTAGGTAGATATGTGTTCTCTGTAGAAAATTATCATCCAAGAGAAATCGCCTTAGTTCTTCGATTGTTTTAGGTTTCGCATAATCGATGATTGCTCTGACTTTTTCAGTAGGTGGTTTGATTACTTCCTTGCTGACGGTGAAACCAAGAAATTGAACTTCTTGTTGCCCAAATATGCATTTCGAAGGGTTGATTGTGATTCCATTGTCTTCAAATCGCTGTAGCACGGTGCGTAGATGGGTTTCGTGCGTTTCTTTATCAGGGCTTGCAACAAGGAGATCATCAATGAATGCGAAAACGAAATCCAGTCCATGAAGTACTTCGTGTATGAATCTTTGAAAAGTTTGACCAGCGTTCTTCAGTCCTGGGGTCATTCTTGGAAATTCGAATAATCCCATTTGGGTAATTATTGCTGTCTTCTCTATGTTTTCATCGCGTACTTTTATTTGTTGTCAAGCTCGGTTGAGATCGATGATGGAGAATATAGTCTTGTCTGACAGTTGATGAGTGAAATCCTTGACTCGCGGTATTGGGTAGCGGTCAGGAGTGGTAATAGAATTCAGTCTTCTGTAATCTCCACAAACTCGTAATTCTCCATTCTTCTTTGATACAACGTGAAGTGGTGATGACCAAGTGCTTTTGCTTGGACGGCATATTCCTTGCTCGATCATGTTTTCGAATTCCTTTCGAACTTGCTCGTATCGGTGTGGTGCGATTGGGCGTGCACGGCAATAAAGTGGTGGTCCATTGGTTTCGATGAAATGCTCAACGTCGCGCTTCGGTGTTAATTTCATTGAAGTTGAGGTTTGAGATAATTTTATTTCTCATAAGAATTACATTCACTTAGGTACATGAGAAACTTCAATGATACAGAATTTGAAACATTTTAGGCATATCGTATAAAAAAAGAAAGAATAATTTAATAAGTATAAAAAGGGTAGTTGTTAATATTATGATAATGATTTGTTTCGAGTGTTGCGCGCCAAACTACGTTATATAAAATGTTATAAATGATCATAGAGTAAATGCAACTGGAAGTGGCACACATCAATGCGTGTTCGCTGTGTTTATGACATAATATTTTTTTAAAACTTCTCCTTGATTTTGCTTCTTTTATTTCTTTTGGAAGTTTATTATACAATCTAGCACCTTCATACAAAAGGTTCTTTTTACCATAGTTCGTCCGGGGAGTATATAACTCTATGTCGTTTGCTCGTCTTAGCCTAATTTTTTGTATTTGTTGTTTCTTGGTAAAGGTTATTTGTGTATGCATATCTTTATTTAATATTTTTCTTATAAGAATACAGGTACAATAAATATATGTTTGTGAAATATTCATAATTATAGTTTCCTTGTATATTTTATGTGTCCGTGTGAAAAAATCATAATTAAACAACATTTTTAATAGTTTATTTTGAGCCGTTTGTAGGGCGACCAGATTTGTTTTTGCAGCCGCACCCCATACTTCTATTATATGTGATTTCCATGTCATGTTACTGTCTAAAATCAAACCAAGATATTTTTCATGATCCAATAGTTTGATTTCTTGATTGTTTATATTCAATGATGAATGCTATGGTATTTTCGTATTTTTTGCTTTAAATATTATATAGTTTGTTTTAGAAATATTTATGGTTAAAATATTATTTTGAAAACATTTATTTAGTAGATCTAAGTACATTTGCGCGTTACATATAATGTCATGAATGCAGTTACCATAGAAAAATAAACTAGTATCATCTGCATATAAGGTTATGTCACCTTTTAGTCCAAGCTTATGAATGCCATTTATATATTTAAGAAACAGCAGTGACCCGAGAACTGAGCCCTGCGGTACGCCATAAGTTATGATTGTAGGGCTACTTTGTATTTGATCAATCTTAACCACTTGACGACGATTTGAAAGGTAAGATTTAATTATGTCATATGCTGATCCACAAATGCCAAGTTCTTTTAACTTACGTAATAATAGTTCATGACTAATAGTGTCTAAAGCTTTTTTTGAGTCTATGAATACCCCAAGCACTATTTGTTTCTTATCGATACTAATTTTTAACTTATTAACTAAATCTAACGTCGTTGAAAGAGTGTTGGGTCCAATTTCTTTCTGGACTTATAAATAGGGATAACTTTGCTTTTTTATCGGTAATGAAAAGACGGTAGGACTTTTCTGTTACGCCGGATCCCATCGCATCAAACGTATTAGCTAGTTTTCCGACTTCATATTTTCATTTTTGAATGTGCACGGTGTTGTGCATTTTCTTGCCTCGGAACCAAAACGTCGATGATGGTAGCAGTAAGGGGATCTTATTCTTGAACTTGTCCGACTTCTACTTGCAGAGCGGTTGCTACGAAAAGGTGATCTTCGGTGTTGCTGATTGCGCTGGTTGTATTGTTGCTGGTAACAGGTTTGATGCTGGGAAGCTTTGAGCGCGGCGACTTCGAATGATAGCTTCCGAATTTCTTCGAGAAGAAATTGGATATCATTGGCCTTGGTTGAATTGCCTTCGATCATCGATATGTGTGAGCTACTGCTGTTTTCGATCATCTTGTCCGCCAGGAGTGCCAGCTCGTCGAGCTTCGTCTGCGTGCTGAATGTTTCACTCATTGCTAGTACCGATCTAACATGTGGGGGTTTACCCACGTTAGCCGTAGCGTCGAATCTGGGACTTTATCTCCTGCCAAAGTACGCATTCTGCGTAGGAGTTGTGTGGGCTTCTGGTCTCCGATTTCTATTTCTGATAGAAGTTTCTGTAGCTGGCGAATGTCGAATTCTTCGTATGCAGAGATCAGACGATCCTGCAGCGAATTATACTGGTCGGTTGCCTGTGGATTGTACAACAGGTCCGAAATTTGTTTGATGTCTTGTATTTCAAGTTGGGCGATCACCATCTGTGCTAGTTGCGCTAGACTCTTCTTTAAATCATTCGTTGCGGCTTCAAAACTGACGAACCAAAGTCGGGGTTTATCTCTCCAAAATGGTGGTATACCCAACGATAGAGATATACCAGCGATTCACTGTTCCTTGGCCGGATTTGATGTATATGCGTCAGATTTCTTCGCTTCTCGCTCCATAATGACGTCTTGATTACACTGATTTTATATACTGAAGTTCAACCCTGCCTATATTTATATGCCCGGCTACATCCTTAGTTTACCAATCAGATGGTTGCATGTTCAGATCACGTCGGGGTCACCACTGTAGCGGGTGGAAGGAAAAGGGAAGATCTCCCGCCGGGCAAGGTGAGCGTTGGCTGCTCCCCGGGCAGAAGCCCGGGGAACGACCAAAGCGCCGAGTTGTAGTTCGGAGCTATTCTATATATACTGCTTTTTAGTTCGGAACTTTGATAATGCGATTTAGGCTTCGATGTATTTTTGTTTTGTGGCGCGACGGACAGCGCCGCCACATCACCCCCCTGCTCAGACCGGAGGTCGATAGTGCAGTCTAGATGTCGACGAATTTGCAAGTGCCAGGGAATTGCCTTGTAAGTCTGCGGTGAGTTGAGAAGAAGGCAAGTAATCTGCGAGAGTGCCTTGAAGCAGAGGCGAGCAGTAAGGCTCAGAGCCGTGCCGAACACTGTAGCGCAGAGAGTAGCTTGAAGGAACAGGAAGCAGTATTATTCCAGTGCTGCGATGAATTGTAAAGCTAGATGGCTTGCAGATAGTGAAGACTGCGGACAATATCTGCTCGGGAGCGAATGAATGGGGTACTTGAGGTTGATGACGAAGGTTCGAAGTTGTAGTTTCCGAAAGTTATTGGTTTTGTGTTCAGATTACGTCGGGGTCACCAATGTAATAGTGGTATGGGGTCCATTATTAACAGACTCCGAGTGGTCTAGTGGCGGAGAAATGAAACTATTTTCTGATATGCCTTACTATGTGCAGGCGAATGGTGTGTGTTTTATTCAGTCAACCCTGCCTATATTTATATGCCCGGCTACATCCTTAGTTTACCAATAGTAATAATTTTTATTTACTTAGCCAATTACAATACATACATTTTGACCAATAAAGATTAATCAATAAAATATTATGTACAGCTATTATATGTCGCGCTCCATTTGCCGGCGTAAGACTCGTGGATAGCTTCTCGTAGCTGCGGTGCTGGAGGGGGTTATAAAAGTGGTGCAAACCGGCACGCGCGCGTAATCTGTGAGCGGCGGCGGCGTGGGACACATCTCCGGAACAGCAAGAAGAAGCGAAGCTGCGGCGTTGAAGAAACGGCTCGAAAATGGTCGACGGTTGCATGAAGATAGCCGGCGTGTGAAGAAGATGCGGCGCTTGATATTTGCGGCTGCTTCTTCTTTCTATATTAATACGTTAAATATATACGTCAAATTATCTCGCATCGATATGCAGCCCGCAGTATCTCAGTAGCCGGGGGTAGTTAGGAAATAAATGTATTCTTCAAACCTTCGCCTTCTGCGTTATGGTAGTAGCAGGGTATACATTATTTATTACCGTTTAGGATTGATTAACCTGGCTGCTACAACATACATATTTTTTTTAAATATATTTTGCCAAAGAAAGGTATCAGACAAAATTATAACGGTAGATTAGCCGAGTAAATTATAATGATAGTTCACGGGTCAACTGAATAATGACGAGTATGTAAACACCGATACGAATACATAGAAACATTCCTTGGTAAAAACCGACATCGAGTGGAGAACAGACGAGTACTCGGGCCGAGTAGCGAGCACACTCGAACAAGTAATTTACATGTTCGTAATCGTGCCTATTCGTCTGTGCTCGACGAGTATCTAATTTCATTGTTATTTGTTACTATTAACACTTACGATAACGATGTTATCTGAAGCTTGTTTAGTCTTAATCTTGTCTCTGTAAATGTTCCATCGGTTTTAGAGGTTCGTGGAATATTTAGAGACAATGGTAGACCTGATGATTTTGGTCCCTAGAAAGAGAGGGTGCCGTAGTGTGGGATTCTACGTGCGCAAACACTGGCAACCTCTCTTCTCAGGAGATCTCCGTTAGAGTTTTGGCGGGAAATTGACCGGCGGCGGTTTGCTGCTCCTGTATTATTGTTTAAATAATGGTTTGAAGTGGACTTTGATATGTAAAAATGTTGCGATTTTGTGTATTAAGTGTCTACGCATGTGAACTATTAGTGGAAACAGTGAAACAAGTGCTCTGATGGTGATGGATTCTCAAGATAAGCTGTTTGTTTGCATAGGCACCTTTAGATACCATCGCCAACTATCAGCTGTCTGCTGGATCAAGTTGCCGCCAAAATCTCCCAAGAACTGCACAATGTGACGCATCAACATATTGTGAAGCAGTATACTATGAAGGAGTGGGGAAATTACAATAAACCGAATAAAAATACTTAAGACTTGGCCTAAAGGTCTAGATACCAGGCCATAAACTCCAAAAAAAAAAAAAAGTTCTCCGTTAGTGTACGCGCATCCAGGTGCAGATCCGTGGGGTCCACGTGCGGTGAAGTTTCCAAACTGTATCCGTGGGTCGTGCCTTGTCATCGCCGCTGGTGATAAGAGGTCCAACCTTTTCTCACTCAAAGGCTAAGTATAGTCATTCAGCGTTCTTTGTACTATACCACGGGGAGTAGTAGAACTGTATGATAATTAAAGTTTTTTGATTTTTTTTAATTATGTTGTTTATTAATATAGGGTCAGTAGGGGTAAATGTAAAAACGGGGTAAAAGTAATAAGCGTCTACATTTTGATCTATGTTGCTTTGCTGGTGCTGTCATCTCTGGAACGTGTAGTGTACTATTTCGACGGTAAGCCAAGCAATTTCAAATACTGTTTTATCGACACGGCGTCATGTGACATTTCATAATTCACGACGTTCGCTTATTTCTTAAAGGACAAATTGGACTACGATAAATAAATCGACATTAATCCGTTTAAGCAAGGTAAAATTTTGAGCTCTTTTTTTACAAGTGTAGTTAATTAACATATTCTTAGCCGTTTTATATCAGTATTTTAGCAAAATGTAGTAATCAGCACTACAGGGAAAGAAAACACAACTTTTGTTTTAGCCGCCAATGCCGTTGGTCATAGATAGGTAAAAATATGTGGGACCAATGGCGAGCACCTACAGACAAAGAATTTCCAGGGACGGCTTACGCCGCGAGACCGAATGGTTGGATGGAAACAGAGATTTTCACTAACTATTTCAAGAAGACCCTTATTCCAGCTTTTGGCAGTGAACGACCTATGTTAGTGCTATATGACGGTCATGCCACACATTTCTCTGTTGATCTTGTGGAAACAGGGATGGCCAATGACATAACTATTCTTAAAATTCCAGCGCACACCAGCCACCGTCTGCAACCATGGGATGTTTCTGTCTTTAAATCCTTTAAAGCATATTGGGCAGAGATTGCCTAAATCTTTATTCTCTCAATATATAGGGGAAACTTGGATTAAAGTTTCCGAAAGTTGTATAGCCAATGGGTTTAGCAAGGCGGGAATTTATTCTTTTAACCCCAACGTAATTCCTAGAGATCATTTTTCCAAAGAATCCCTGGAACGCTGGGAAAACTCGCAAGTAATGGCCAATCCTATGCTATCAGCATGTAGCCTTCCTTCGATCTCGTCTTCTCGAGAGAATTTCTCGGAAGAAGCCCTGGAAAACAGAGATAATTTGCAAGTTTCTTCGATTTCATCGATGACTGACGAAAGCCAACGAACATCTGGCAAAAGCAACTTAGAACACACTTCAATAGAAGGCATAATTTTATCTACTATACATCAAAAACATTAACCACCGAAGGAAAGGAAACGGAAAGTTGCATCAGGCGCTCAGGTCATTACTTCTCATGAAATTTTGGAAGTTCTACTAAAAGACGCAGAAGAGAAGAAAAATAAGAACAAAAAGCCAAAAGAAAGACAAATAAAGACAAGAAAAATAAAAAAAGAGTAGACCGCGATAGTACAGATTTAGAAACGGAAATTGCCTATGCTGAGTCAGGTGAAAGTGATTTTTACTGAATACTTGCAAGGAAATGATCCGCTGTGTCCTGGGGAAGATGATATATTACCTTTTGAGGGGGAAGAACCACAGTTTCTAGAGCAAAAAGATCCGATGGATATTGAAGAAAATTCAGACAAAGAAAATTTAGATGAGGAAAATTTAAACAGCATCAGGAAGGATGATTTAGATATATCTTTACATACAGGCAAATGGGTGATAGTGAAATACTCCTTAAAGAGGACAAATAAATATTATGTAGGTATCATAAAAGACAAAATTGACGATTGCTGGGAAGTTCAATATGTAAGACGGGGCAAAAAAGCTTTCATATGGAGGTTCAAGATTTTGACTTAATTGATACAGGTTGTATAATTAAAATTTTGCCTACCCCAAAATTGACGAAATAGGGCCTCTCTATCTTTGATTATGATTTCAAAAATTTATCGATTGTTTAATTAGTATGTATTTAATTTTAAGAAAAATTCATATCTCTCTAATTTGTTATCCTATTTTCTTCAAATAAAAACCAAAGTGTAGAGCCAATTTTGAATTTTCTCCCAATTCTTTTAGATTTCATCTGTAGATAAATCCCACATCGCTGTTACATTTGCCCCTTTTGACTGGGGAAATGTAATAACGGTACCCACTTTTCCTAAAAAATATTTTAAAAACACTTAGCTTTAAATGTTATAATTTATTTCTGCTTGCAATAGTTATTTAATAAACGCTTAATTAACCCCAATAAATGGTATAACTGTGGAGTTATTTAATAAAAAGTATTACGATAATGAAGATGGAGGTTGAGTGATGAGGTTTGTATTTACCCATATTGATCCTACAATATTTATTAACGTAATAAAGTGGAGTCTCTCCAATTGTGCTGAAGACATTTGCGACAGAGTTGTCACCGGTTTCAACGCATCTTTTCCGATACTCCTACTCCCTAGGTGTTGTCCCGTAATCTTGGAAAACAGCTTTGGTGCAACCGATCCCTAAACAAGGCTACCATTCAGACTCGTCCAACTACAGGCCTATCGCCATCGCCTACTCCAAAATAATGGAAACCAACTGATTAGTGACTGCCAATGCGGTTTCCGTCGGGTTGCTCTGCTAATTAATCTTACTCATAGATAGGCGGAGACAGTTAGAGTCCAAGGAGGAGGTCCTGGCCGTTAGCTTAGACATTGCGAAGGCCTTCGATCGGGTTTGGCTCAAAGTGGTTCTTTTAAAGCTCCTTTCTTATGGGTTTCCCGAGAAATTGTAAAATTGAATCATCAGTTTTCATACACATCGGTGTATCAAGGTCGTAGTACCTAGACGGTGCACGCTCCGATTGGTGATAGCTCGCAGCCGTGTTCCACCAGGCTGCGTGCTACGCTGTTTCTTCTGCATATCAATGATATGTTGCAAACCAGTAACATTCATTGCTATGCGGACGACAGCACTGGTGATGCTTTATACACCAGCCGTGCCAATATTTTTCGGGAATACGTCGCCGAAAACCGGAACAAATTTGTGTCTGAAGTCCAGTCTTTGTTAAAGTCTCGGATTGGAGGCGACTAAATCTAGTCAAGTTTAATACCCAGAATACAAAAGATTGGCGTTTACCGATAGAGTATCCCTTTACCTACTGAGTTTCAGGGCACTCCCCTTTTTTGCCTCAGCCAGTCATAGAATACTGTTCTTATCTCTGGACTAGGGCTACCCAGTGTGAGCTCCTTACACTTGACCGCATCCAGCGTAGAGCGCCTCGAATCGTCAGCGACGGTGTTCTCTCCGATCGGCTCGATTTACTAGCGCTGCGAAAAGATGTTGCATACCTTTGCATTTGCTATCGCAATTACTACGGGGAATGCTCCGAGGAATTGTGCGGATTAACTCTGGCAGCTAAAATTCACCAATACACATCGCGACAAAACATACATTAGCATTCAAAACTTACCATACCATGTGAATGCTTGGCGGTCCACTACTGTGCGATATACTAGGAGTTTTCTTCCTTGCACCAGTCATCCTTTCGGACTACGCGAGTGAGGGAATAGAGTGCATATGCATGCGCACACTCTCACGCAATTTATTCCTAGGCGTTGATACTGGTCTCTGTGACCGAAGTTCGGTCTAGAGGATGTATTTATATTTTAATACTAAGTTATTATGTGAAAATAATTTAAAATTAAAATTTTGTACAGCCGACTTCAATATAAGTTATTAAGAATCACTCACAAACTATTGGTCTGACCTTGATCAAATTCATATGGGACCACACGAGAAGCACTAGCTTTCAAACAAAAAAGAATCATCGAAATCGGTTCACCCAGTAAAAAGTTATGAGGTAACACACATAAAAAAAAACATACAGTCGAATTGAGTACCGTCTCCTTTTTGGAAGTCGGCAGATAATTTTCTTTGAAGTCGGCTTTTAATTTTTACTAAAAGTTTTTTTTTTCGAAAACATGCCATTAAAGAGGTTTTTAATATCAACATACCGACAGCACAAACTGTACCGTAAAATGAAAATGGCTCATGGCCTCGTCTACACCGTCTTAAAATAATAGGGGGATATGATTTAGAATTTAATAAATAAAATAAAGCGTTTATTCATTATATATATAAATTTATTCTTTCTTTTCTTGACTTGGAATGAAAAATATTAAAATCTAGGGAAATAATAATAGTAAAAATAGGCCTGTAGGGCAGCTTGTAGCGAGCTGTTAGTAAGCAGCGACATCACAGGTCCAGCGGACTTGAGATCACATTAATAATAGTAATACAGAAATAATACCTAATATATATATATAAAGATATTAAAAATTCGAAAGCAACACAAATTTTTCTCATTTTTTTTGTATTATATGGAATTTTGTAACTAAGACAAAATATCTATGTCAGATCTATTTTTAATTATTATAATCACAAATGTAGTGTCGTTTACATTAGATGAAAATAGAAAAGGGAGATGCGTTGTCACCCCCGAGGAACCGTTACAAAGGTTCACCACAAATTTTCCGTAGATGGTTATGAAGGGTTCTGCAATTATTTTACCCTGGTATTCTGTGAGACCTTTGTCCTTCGTAGAGTCGATTCCTGCTGCCATATCACAGCTGCTGCGTTGCTCACCAATGTACTCGTACATCTATCTATCTGAATGCAATGAGTATTTAATGGCGCATGCGAACTATAAGATAAAAGTCAAATGATGGTCTCATTTTCACTGGAAACGAGGCATTTTATCCTAGTCTTCATGGGTGACAACGCATCTGTATTTTGATTCGTTATCGAGGATAGATGTAGATGTATAATGTGCAACAGCAACCACTAACCAGCAGGTGGTATGTGTACCCTTATCCTATAAAAAACGTAGTGCCTATAATTGTTTCCTTTTTCGTCAGCCTGTAAACAATCTACTACTGGACATGAATATTTTCATATTATATTATTAATATTTTTTATAATATTAACCTGTAACTATTTTTGAAGTTAAACTTTTGGGGCGTTTGGGAAAAATGATGAGAGTGAATTTTTACGATGCGCGCGCACACCTATAACATACCCTAAAACTATGGAGTGTGGAGAGAAGGAGGACCATCTCTATATATGAAGTGTCCCTAAAAACGCGTCCAATAAGGGTGGCGCTGCAGTAGCATAGGATAAATTAAAAAAAAAAAACCGCCAAAAGTAATAAGAATAAGATGGAGAAATAAACAAGGACCGACCAATCCGCTTGGTTTTGTACTACGTAAATAGTTGAGATTTTGTATACTGGCATTTTACTAACTACTCTAGTCATGAATTTTTTTTAAATATTTGAATTCAGCTGACTTCACTCCGTTCACAACAGCAATCTTCATATCGTAGTTTTTCAGACGCCAGCGCTATTGTGGTAGGTTTTGGAACCTCTATTTTCAGTAAATAGTAGGACACTTTTTCAACTTTCGCCCCTTATAAGATGGTTCTCCTTCTACTCTATACTCCATACCTAAAACACACACCAAAAGACGGCACCATGAAGTTGTTACGATGCGCGCGTACTCTGACACCTAAAAGCGACAAATTCAGTGGGTAATAATTGTCTTTCAAGATTTTTTTTTGTTTTGTTACGCTAAAGAAGTATAACTTCCTACGTGCACATAAGTACACACAAACACTTTTTTTATAATCCTTTTTAGTTGTAGCACGAATAGGTCGTATCAACCGTGAAAGGACCACGCTCCACAAAATACCAGAGTAAAATATGCTGCTTTGTTTCCTATGGTGAGTGTACAGAACTGAAGACACTTCTTACTGATAAATGTAGATGTCTGTGTACTCACATGTCACCTTTATTCTATAAAAATAGTGACAATCTGTTGCTGGTCTTCATTCATTCAATTTATTAAGTCAAGATTATGATTTTTATTTGCACTGACAGGGAAGA